TATTCGAATGGTCCTCAACAGCGCGGCCGATAACTCCTAACATTAACACGCATGAAAGACACACTCGATTGTGTGCTCTCCAACGGGAGTTTCTCGATGCATAGGCACAGAGCCGATTTTCGTAGCTGTGTTCGCCAACATGACAAATACTCAAACGGTATCGTACATGTTTACTTTTGTACAATGAATAAAGTTTGCCAAAACTTGCCAAAAAAACTTGTTGCATAAGTTCAGATACATTCTGATCGCCTAATACAGGCAAGTTAATTTGTGTGAATAGCCTTCGTAGCGTCAACAGTGAACCAATCCTTTGTATCAACTGCATTTAACAATGGCTGATATTACGAACTCTGATCGTTTCTCGCAAATGCCGAATCAATCAATTTATGCCAACAGGAAAAACGCAGGAGTAGGTCTCCGTTCGATTGTTCTATTTAGCTATCAGCTCAGTTCACAAACAAATTATATGTAATCTAAAATTGAATCGTGACTCATCAAAAATGAATCATTTCCTTTTTTAAAGTATCTAAATCTTAAACAAATTTACCGTAGATTGGCAGTATTAACAAACGTATTCAACTAATATTTCGCAGGTAAATGATTACTTTAGCAGTTCACATAGACCATTTCGCCCCCTCACGGTCCTGCTCATTCTTTCAAATGAAATGCATACATTCGTATTTGTACTACAACTGAATGAAATTCGAGCAATGTCTGCAGGAATGAAACAAGTAGTAAAGCTATTGAATTCATAATAGTATAAGAGTTTGAGTATATTTGAGAACAAATCTAACTATGGCTACGCGCACACTAGTTCATGTTGGCTTTAAGAGCTTGTACGGGCATCTAGTAGCAATTTTTAGTTAAGTAAGGCACAATGTCTTCGAAAATTAAGGCGATTTTAATTTCAGCTTGACCAAATCCACCAGCTAGTTATTCTAGTTTTACCACCCGTAAATAGGAATAATGAATGAGTTTAAAATAAATGCTTCAGGAGGCGTGCGATCCAATAGTGACCTGTAGATACTATGTATTGAAGTAAACCCTAATAAAAATGCCATCAGGCAACGAAAAGGTAAACACAAAAGGAAATATGCATATATTTTTAGAACAAACCGAAATACGGAGAAAATAGCTTGGAGAACTTTAATAATGGATATGATGAATTTTATTCCCATCAAAGCAGACCATCTGCACACTACCATCGTGTATATTTTAATATATATACAGTATATTTTAATAAAAATCTTCCAAACGGGATGGTGATCTAGGCGAACACTTACTTGGTAAGAAAAACATCTCGAATGTTCCCTACACCTAACGCCAGCAGAGTTATTCTGGTGAGGACATCTTAAGGTTGAAGTCTACGTTACTAAGCCGACGACACCAAAGATTTAAACAGTTAGAGTTGATAGCGAATGTGCGAGAACACCGAATATTTGTTGAAACTTGCGAATCAATAGCCTATTGTTATCAGCAATGCATTGACCACAATTGTAATAATTAGGAAAACGTATACATTTAATAAAGACCTTCCATTCGAGCTATATATATATATAGCTCAATTGAAAGAACAGTTAGAGCCTATATGAAAAAAGTAATGAACCAACTATATCCCTCCAATATCATGTCTTGGTTTGAATATGACCTGTTCTCGTACGTAGAACTTGTGCTGGGTCCGACTGATGTTCACCCTAAGAATCCTAATCTGGAAGTGTTTCGATACTACGTGATGCTCGATCGCTTCTCAGCGAACAACTTCGACACCATAAGTAGTGCGTCAATACATGTTCTAAGCTTGAATTATATAAGTCGCACTTTATATATGTAAATTAAACCATAATTGAATCAATACATATGTATATGTCATAAAAATTGATGGTGCTTTACGGTCTTTAGCGTCCCAAACGGTTGTTCGCACTTCTAAATACGACGGTCATTTTAGTTTAAGAAATGATGATAAAAATCTCGCACGAGTGTTCTATTTTACAAGTGGACACTGATGCCAGATAGGTTTTCGGATGGTGTTTTCGCTGTTGCTGCATAGCAAAGTAGACGAATGATCGCTGAAAAAATCCACTTTAACAGGAATCGGTATTTCGGTTAATATATGCGGGTATAGCAAACTGCTTGAGGTTGGAACATTTGCGGTTCCAAATTCGTAACTCCAGTTGCCAGGCGTGTCTTCGGACGGAACTTTATTTTCGCATGTAGCTGTGTGTTTTCGGCCACGCTGTGAAGAACCCGCCAGAGCTAGAAGAGTTTACCGTCATAGTGATTGGTCCAAATGAACCGAAGCCAGGAGAGATAATTAAACGACTTGCGCTCCTAAATTCACTTCTGTGGTAGTTTTCGCTGTAGGTGTGAGATAAGAAATATTCATATGGATAATTTGCTATACACACGAAAAGCGATTGACATATAAGTCCTATTAACTATACTTAGGCAGTTTTCAATAACATACCTAATCCAATTTTTTTCCAAGAAAGGTTTTTTGCTAACCATACTCCTCTTACCATCGAAACTGTGCTTACAAAATCCGGTGAAGCATGTGTAGTAGCTTGTGGTAATACTGAATGACTCTTTAGACATTGTACGGGAGGAAGACATCCTTTAAACATCCTATAAAGTAATACTGACGTCCAAAATTCTTTCTAAGCAAAAATATCTTTTTAATGGATGAAAACAATTGTATACATATTCAAATAGTTCAAATAATGTACTCAACATAGTTTTCATCGTCATTTCACCTAGAAGGCTGGAATTAGTAATATTTTAAACATAATTCAGCCTGCTCCTAATAGATATGCCTTGGCAACGACAGAGTTGATTCCCTTACCCATTTTTAACTTGTGCAATTTAAATGTCAATGATCCGCCTGAACTGCTGGATGACCATATTCGATTTTTGGAGGATCGATTTTTCCATTTGTCGACAAAAATAACACAACGTTATAAGCGCCTATATCAGACACAAAAGAAACACTAGAAAACATTGAAATCAACTATATTAATCAAGCGAAAAAAAACAGTTGAAAAAAGAAGGCCAAACTGAATCAACGAGTATTCATGTTAGGGGTTACTACGCGGCGTTGTGCGATCTGTCACGCTGTTCCCGCATTCCTAATAGATGCTGCAATACAGCGTCTAACCTTGGCATCCTGAGGACATACCAAGCGGCTGATACATTGTCGTCTACAGACCTTTACCAGGTACTAATTACTTTCATTGTACACACTGTTGCTAAACGCTATAATTTAGACCCTCGAACCCTTAACCGGTCAATGTCGATGTCATCACCGACTGTTTTAATATTATTTAAATAAACCTGAAGTAACTCAAGTTAGTTATTGTGTATGTGAATAGGTAGATACAACTTAAACTGCTATAGCTTCAGCCCGCACTGTCTTGTCATCTAACTACGGTTGATTTTTAAATACCTACGCATATGGGATTAATCTCTCAGGCGTCGGCCAAAATCCAACTAAACAATACAAAATAATAATAAGATCTTGAATTGTTAGTATGTACCAAGCGTTCTGTTTACAACAATATGTTGCATGATTCGCAGCAAGACTCCATTGCGGTCTACCTCCATCGCCTAAGAAGCACTTCTACCTCTCAGTTCCAACCTTTAAACTAAAGGTGAATATTCATACTTTCCTATTGACGGCCGCAAAACCGTCTGTACAGTTTTATAAGCTTTAGGCTGATTAAAAATAGAAGAATATCTCAAAGTCTTCAAAAGCTTTATTGTTGTTTCAAATGAATGAATCAAGATATCCAATTTGCCATTCTTTTGATCTGTTGGGTACTCCACTCTGGGTTGATTATGCATTTTAAAACAGATTTCTTCGTTTGCCCTACTACCGCTATCGTTTTTGCCAACAGTATCATAAACACTATGTTGTTTGAAAATAAGCAAAGCGGCAAAATTGTATTCAACCAATAGAAACAGATTTCGTTTAAATAAACAAGCTATTAGTGTTAAACCATGTGCTCCTGAGAAATACATATTCCTAAGCATCATGCACCAGTCAACTTCGGCGACTTGTGCTTAGCTAGTCAAGTCATAAAAGAAGTTAGAACAACAGGCTGTAACGTAACATATGTGTTATGACTGGTATTGTACTATTGTATCGCTATCGCTATTCTACGCTTTCTGTTATATTATGAAGGAAAAAAGATAAACGTGGTCGTACTAACAACGGACGCATAACGCGAAAGTGCAGTAGTGGACGGTTGTAAAAACTACCTAACTCCACGGATGAAGTTCTTAGAACTAAGATCCAGAAACAACCCATAAATTGGTAGAAGTTATTTGGTTATACTGTGATGAAATGCTAAAATAAACTTTGATGCCATTATAGCGTTTTGTCGAAATTATTTTTCGAATCTACTTTTTTTGGAACATTTAGTAAATTGATTTGTTGATTGAAAAAACAAATTGATTGAAGTCGATGTAAGTATACAGCGTATCTGCCGTAAAGCTTGTTAATTGATTAGTCCAAAGTATTCCGTAATCAAAACAGTGCTTTTAAAACCATTTTATTTCAAACAACACAGATCACTTGCCAACTCACTTAGCTCTGCCTAACTCATCCTAATACATCGTGTATCAATTAATTTTTAAGTAAATAAATTCTGGGTCAATGAAAATTATATTCAATTGTAGTTAAACAGTGGTAGCGTTGCCAATGAGTTCGAAATTGTAAACATCACAGGGCTTATTGTATATTATAATGACTGCGTTTTGCTTGCCCGCATTACCGAAGGAACGCGAAAGCACAGCTAGAAACCTCTTATTATTTTACATCTAAATATCGAAATCGTGTTACAAAAAAGTGACAAACAAGTGTGTGTTGAAGTATATCAACACTTGATTATTGTTTCGAGTCCAACAGAGCTTTATATATCCATGGCAGTAAAGAAGAAAGATAAATTACGTTACTTGCTGAAAACTGTAAATAAACATTATTTTAAACAGTAAATGACAGCGAATACTCTTTATATTACATAACGAGTTTATTTATTTACAAAAACATTTCATCCAGAAATAAGTCAAACTCGTCGTCTAAATTCGATTCTTCCTGAATTTGAACTGGCTTTGCCCATGGATTGTCATTATCTACATGTTTTTCTTCGATAACCTTAACATTGTCAAGGTTAGCTTTTTCGTCTTCAGATGGAAATCCACCTGAGCTATCTGAAGACGAGTCCTCGTCCCTAAGCGACCGACTTTGCTTTTTTTTTATTTTTTTCGGTTTGCTTTGCCGACGCTTCTTATTTCCTTTTTTTTCTATCTTTCTCATTTTACTTAGCTGTTGTTCAATCTTGCGTTTCCGCTTCTTCGTCACTTCCTTCCGTTGTGTTCGGTAATTCAGTTTATAGGAACAGTCAGGACAAAGGCGAATTTTAACGAGCGCATTCTTCCGTTCATTTTGCTCCACATAGGCAAAATTAACCTCCCAACTCCGGAGGTCAGCATCGTTTATGCAATTCTTTTCGCCACAACTAAATTGTCCTTTTCCAACGACGACTTCCTGTTCGGTACGCCACCGGAAGGCGATCTTGTTTTTCTTGTAGAATCGTAAATCCGTTACACAGTACTCTTTAAATAACTTGTCATAGTATTTCTTGGCTAGTCTTTGGCCCCATGTAAGATCTGAAGTTGTACACTCATCGTCCCACAGAAAGCGATGATTCTCTCGTAAAACGTCGCCATCATTTTTATCTCTACATATGTCACGCTTTAAGTGGGCAGTCTGTCCTTTGTAGCAAAGCAAATAGTCATTGACGAGTTTCTTATGACGACTGTAGGCGTCGAGCGCGAGGATGGCGTACCTTTCACGCCGTTTTTCGGCTCGCGATTGTTCGCTACAAAACTGGCTCTTGTGTCCTTTTATTTGATCGTGGCCTGCATGTGCACTCGATGATGCAGTAAAACCGTGAACGGGTTGTTGGAACTCATCAGTAACCTTAATATTTCTGTTTGACTTGTGCAATTTATATGTATCGCTTTCGAACGACGAATCATAGTCGTTTCCCGTACAAGGCACGAGGTTATCGTTGTACTCGAATTCTGACATAGTCTCACATTAAGAACCTATGGAGCTATAAGAACGAGTCGTAACTGAACAGCCGAAGCCGTTACTGCGGCCACTCGACGTAGCGTAGGGGGCGGCCTGGGTGTCACATTCACTATAGTAATAGCTTGCGTCGAAGGTCTTTGTTTGGCCTTGTTCAATTAAATGGTGAGTAGGTGTGAAAAGAACTGATTTGTTAATAGAAACAGTTGCGTTTCATTAAACTCCACTAAAGAAATGTCTAGGTGACAGCACTGGCTTACTGCTCGATTGCGGTTGTGATTTGTTGACAAACAGAGCTAGGTCGTCTGCTCCAGGTTGAACGTATCGCTCGCTCATAACATAATAGTGACTTTGTTACCAACTAACCGAATATGTACATTAAAAATTTTGTATTTATTAGAATGCTCCATACATACACCTTTAGTTTCAGGCATAGATATATTGGATATTGCACGAAACATCCTCCCACGTCGACCAGCTATTTTTTTCCAAACCACAATATTGCAACATTGGAATATTTGTTTAATATTGACTTTTATTGTGAACACAAATTTTATAGTATTTAAATGTCATTTTATGCGCAGTTAAGGAGAGTTATAGGCTCATTTACAATTAATTAAGATTTTTTGGGGAAGTAGGGAGTTCCCAGTTATCTGGATTGTCTTAGTGTGTAATCAGTGCTCGCACCAGGATTGGGTGCACGATCTATTCTTGCAAGTGCTTAGGGAGTTTCTACTAATTCTAACGTAAAACAACTGTATGCAGACTGAAGATTACTAACGGCGCCATCCCTCTATGGGCAAATACAACCGAGTAGATTAGTACCTCATAGTCCGCCATCACGACGCTCTTAACGGGGCTGTACATTTAGGTTAAATATTTGAACTAATGTCGTATATATGGATAAGTAGACAACTACGACAGGGTACTTTTACCTATTTGCTTGATGTTTATTTTTATAAACGCACCCAAATACAAGAGGGTTTTCTATCAATTTCTCAGTAATTTTTGAAGCTATAACTTATTGGCATTGTTTTATTCAAGTTGAGCATTTATGTAAGATGCCGTAAGTTGCTGTTAACATTCCCCGCAGTCAATAGAGAAAAAAAATTCAGAATCGCTTAAAGATCGACGCCACAAGATAGACGGCAGTAGTACATCCGAGTAACACAAGAGCATCGGCGCTCTTCGAAAAACCTGCATTACACTCCTCTGTGCGGCACTCACAGTTAATCGCCTTTATATCGACACGGGCTAAAATTGAAACGTTCAACAAAACACTCAAATCTTAGCCGAAATAAGGTAAATCTCCTTGGAGTCGTTTTGTTTGTTACGAATGCTATAGGTATCGCCACCAAAACCACAATCACAATGCCAGAATAATATGAAGTAATTAATAGGCGCTGACAAACGGAGTACTTTACGTCAAAGTGGATACTTTAAACACTGTTTTGTTTAACTGTGTCCTCGTTATCAACGATATTTGCTGAATTACGATGTCCGTGAGTTTGGACAATATGGCAGGTGCTGGCTTCTTTAGGAGAAACTCTTTACGAAATGACTTAGTGCACGGACAAATAACACGCTGTATGTTAGAAATAATAACGCCGGTCCATTTACTTTCCAACGGTGGCAAGGACCTGAACCTATCTTTGTCGCTTCACGGATTCCTGTGGCATCATTTTGGCACTGGGCTGGGTGAAATTGATCTTTTTGAGTTCTGTCAAAAAAACCATTTCCAGTTACATAATAATAGCTTTTACTCCGATGCATCTATCTGAATGAAGCCTTTATTTGAAAAAAAACACAAATATAGTTTGGAGCATCATTATCTGCTGCCTAAGCAATCGATCGAAATGGCGAATGTGTCTTGAACATGTAAAACGCCTATATATATCCAAACCTGCACCTAAAAAGCTGGAGCGGGACAACACAAAACTGAAGCTGATGTTCAAAAAGAAAATGCTGGAAACAGCTAAAGTGCATATTACCATGCTATAGTAATTATCATAAAAATATCTTTAAAGAAATCTAATTATTATTATCTATAATCGTAAATCGTTATGGTGTGACTCAATTAAAGCCGAGGATTATCGGCAGAAATGTCAAGCAGATGTCTAAAAAGATCAGTCTTAATGAATTTTCTCGCGAATTCCTATTTGCAACTTCGCTACTTACGCTCGTTTACGCAGCTGTCTCTGTCATGATGTTGAATCCACCCACAACGGCGATCAACAGTTCTTCGTTCCTCCACCTCAACAACCTGAAAATTAGTGGACAACTGTTTGGCTAATGACTCCTACAGGAAGGCAGTAGTGGTTAATAAATGTGAGATAAAATTATGTAGCTATACCTTGTCTATGTGGCACCGAATAAATTTGATCGCCCTCCGGGAAAAAGTTTAGAAGATTCTCATTGTGGACATGTGCTTTCTGATAGGAACGAGCGCAGTAAGCACGTTTGAAGCTGAGACCTAAATGCTAGGTCCAATCGAACAGCTTGGACGACCATCCTTTTCAGTTCATAATAAAGCGCTACTTTCTTCACAGGTAATGGCGATTTGAGCGACGCCTACGCAATTAGATTGGCTCGAATTCGATTTTCGGGAGAAAGTTTACTCGTATTTGAGACGCTAGTTAAACGAGCACATCTAAACACCGCGTCTGTGATATTCTAACAATTACGTTGAATACGTTGAACTTACTTCGAGCTACTAACAGACTATCGGGCTAAGTAGTACTGTCAAAGCAAAGCGTATTGTCACTACAGGGTCCTGCAAGCTCCTTTTGCTACGGCAGACATTTGTGTAGAGCTGTGTGTGGCGAATAACAATCCACTATCTGCAGCAAGTGAAGCATTTGGCGTCTCCAAGAGAGAAACTCGCACAAAATCTATGTGTCACAGATTGTATAGCTCAACTACAAATGGAATACCCGATTTAAAGAAACGGATGCGTCATGAACTGTTCGTCAGCTCGATTCTCTCCGTTGCTGTTTACGCGAGCTCGACACTGCATCGCAACCAATAGACTATGCATCTGTACTCTTGTTGCGACTAACAGTTTGAGCAGCACATATGCATAGAGATATTTAATACTAATTATATTGAAATCATACTTCATTGCAATTGTAGTGACGATGCAAACACATAAGTTTGCTTCCAGCATGAAGCTCTTTGCTCTCCGCGTAACTTCCACATACTTTACATTGGGCCATTTATATAAAGCCGAGGAACAGGAACTTACCATCAGGCGACAGAGGCTGTACGTTTTGTTGTCTACGTTTTGTAGCTGGTTACAGTCTTGTATAAGGTTCTGAAACATATTTCATCCAAACGATGTTCAATTGATACTTCATACTTACTTGAACTTCTCATTAGAAGGCAGGCATCTGCCTTCATTATATTTTTAGGGAGTAAAGGATTTTTTCTTTAAGAGTACCAGAGTTCTTCAAGAAAATCAGAAAAAGATTTGCCTAAAAATAGTGAAGACTATATGTAGGAACCAGCTGACAATGGTGCTAACAGCACTTTTATTAATGAGAACATTTTTCATTCATTGTATAAGATGCATTATTATCAATAACAATAATGATACCTTTGGTGGCGGCGACAACGAGCAGGATACATCGTTGTTCGAGTTGCACACGTAGCACCGAAAAGCGCCAGCTCCCTCAATGTTTATTGACAACGCCAATAGGAAAATAAGCTTGAGGACTGGGATCGTTATAAACAGACTCTTGGCCCACATACTCATGAAGTGGCAGCGATGACACCCTAGCAAAGTGTTGTGATAACGACTAAGTTATACGTGTCACTCTACGGCAGCAGTTTGGGTTCAAAAATAGAATAGCATGTCTAAATGTCCGGGCAGCATTTTTCATGCACAGTATCTCGATACATACCCGTGCTGCCCGCTAATAAACCTATATCTATAAGATTCACCTCAGCCTTTGGCTATCCAGGGACCGTGGCCAGTATCGTTACTAGTTTTCCATGTCTAATTAGCAAAAACCGAAAAGCTGAGCATCCATATAGGTTATTTATGACATTTAGACTTACCTAGAACTACAATAGTGTTCTCCGCGACCCAAATTCGTATATATGTAATAATAGAACTTAACAAACGCCTGTGCTGCTGGAACAGAAACCCTCCAGCAGACGTTTGCAGTAAAAACAGTTTCATTACATTTTGAATTTGAGCCGCAAACCCACTTACATCAATTTCTAATGTACATCGACGCACGATAAAATTGCTACAATGTCAACTATTAAGGATGCAATCCTGTATCCTGGGAAGAGCGAACGTGGCACTGACGTAGAAAGCGCTTGCCCCGGCTACTTGCGGCTCGTGTTTAATGGTGCAGGAAATTTATGGTCACACGAGTACAATAAGTCAAAGAAGGCATATTTTACATTTTCCAATATTACGTACCAAATTCATACTTTCTACGCTCAGAATACTACCTCGCAAATAGAAGGATCCTAGTTCAATGCTTCAAGCACTCAGTTGAAAATGTTAGCAAATCTGAGCTCGCACGCCGTTTGATAAAATCGACTAATACGACAAAATGCTTCTGAGTTGACTCTATTTATGAGACTTTTGTATAGATTTAAAACTATTCGGATTTTTAAAACTGTGCTGTTTTTTCACTAACCTTCTTTGTCAATATTTAGGTACACACCGATGCGACGAGATCTGATCGTATTGGCGATGTTATTTGATTAATGTGCCGAATTTACGTTCGTGTTAAGTTTTAGCAAGCCGGTACTTGTAAAGCGTTTTGAACTGCTGGAGCTGGTAAACACAGAGCTTCCTTGTCTACCTTTCTTTTTTAGCAGCTTTCTTGAAAATTCAGGTCCAGCCAGGCGCACTTCTTTCTCGCAAAGGAAACGCTCTTTCGGGCAAGCATCACAAAAAGGAAGACAGTCTTATATCAACGGAGAGAGAGCAAAATCTGTGCCATCTAGTCCCGGCTATTCTTGAGTATATATATATATATATATATACATCAAAAGAGTCGAAAATCCCAAAAGCGTTCGTCGCCAGTGCGATGCAATGGCCACTAAGTATCACTGTCGAAATCGAATACTTTGATACATGCATCTGGCTGTGTGTATGTTTGTCTTGGACATGCGTTATCAACGCCCGTTTCGTGCATTTCAATGAACACACAATTGTGCTAAATTGAAGAAACTACTAATGATATGCTTGTGAATAACTACAGTTTTGAGAAATTGTTGTTTTAAATATAATCTGTAACTGTGAGCAAGATCTGATTTGTTTAGAATAGACTTTTCTTGAGGGTTTCAATCTGAAAATAGATCAACTAGAGAATGACCCATATGTGTCATACGCAATTTTAGCGCGCTTAGTTGAAAATCGACAACGACTTTGTTTTCTCGCGCTTTGTTTTTATAGTAGAACTAAGAATAATCGCAGCTGCCCAATTATCTATCTAGCTTCTAACATCGCTAGGTTTTTATCTAAATACACCCCGACTGACGTGAAAGCAATCAACTAGTCTATTAAGCACATTTACACTAAACAGACAATTTTTTATTATCATCTTGCCAACAAGCTGAACTTGGCTTATAAATATATGAAAAAAAAAAAGTATTCTTCCCCCAATTTCTTAGAAGAGCAGAGCAAACTTGATTGGAAATTTCCAATACTGTGCTACGACGACACTGGTATTTGGACACAATTTTTGTTCCTTTCGAGCCTTAACTAATAATACAATTCATTCTGAGCTTCATCTGGTCCAGTTACACTTGCAATGCAATTGAAACACCTATATATACTTTAATTAGCAACTTATCCAATGGATATTCATATCCGCAGTTTCGATGCTCGCCTATTTTTATATCAAAGTGTCCGTCACTGCGGCAATATAATATTTGCATTACTAATTAAAAGTCAAATATCGGTGAGTTAACGTTGCTTGTTATGCTTCCTTTTTTACAACAGTACGTCTGCTCAGACTGCGAACTTTGCGTTTATATTTAATTTTTTACGTAAGTGATGTGATTATCAAACGATCGAAACTAGCTTCCAACTTTAATCAAAAGAGGTATTTACAAAATATCTATTGTACGTCATGAACCCTTTAATTAAACTTCTACTCTTTGTGGCATCGACGAGTTTTGCTTTTATGGCGGTAAACTCAAACAAAAATGAATCGTTCGTGCCGTTCTTTCTTTGCGGTAAGTACTATTAGCTTATGTGTGATTATATGTAACCGTTCTATTGAAACTCGTTTTTTAGTATTTTTTTGTTATATTATTGGTGTTATATATTATATTTATACCATTTGATTTCATGTCGCTATAGAAAAACTAGAGCGAAGGCGTGTGCAACTATCTATCGGACCAGCCTAAATTATGTATCGCGTTCGCTTTTCATCAATCCATAACTATCTAAGAAAAACGACCATTGCAGAAACCTGTAAACACAAATAACTAGAAACTGTATTCTAATAATAGAAAAAAAGGGACCTAACAAACGCTAGCTGTTGGAGTGCACTAGAACGAGTTAAGAAGCCAGAGGTTCATTAAATCATCTTTCCTGTAGTATTTTGCTATTATAAGTTGTTCAGTTTGCTCTAAATATTTGCACGTATTCGTTTCCATATAACAGGAAACTGTAAAAAGAGGCGAAGTTCTCAAAATTTCAATTTTCCGGAATGGAAACAAAAGCTCTTTTCGAAATGTGTGAAAACTATTAGCTGATTGGCAGCCTGTACTTGTAAGTATTTTACATCATAAACGACCATTAGGACGTCGCTTTCGCTAGCTCACTGGATGGGCGGCCGCAGGTAGCCGGAAAATAGCAAAGAACGAACAGTGGAATCAAACATCGATAAAATCGCTGGATGAGTAATATGTTATCGTGAGCACAGACAACACAGGATATCAGTATTCACCTTAGGTTATACAGGCCAACACGTCGCGCAGTTAGGCCACGTTCAAAAAATCCACTTGACAAAGGATCTACAAGAAAGTAAAATGGTATTTTGATATTATGTAGTGGAAATAGGACATATATTATTAACACATCGTAGAGCAACTGATACGTGTAAGAAGTTGCGTTGGCTAAATATGATTACCATTACGTTTGTTATAATGTAATTAGCAAATTAAAACTGTGGTGAACACTACCGGATAGGAAACAGCTCCTAGCTTCATTGGTGAACAGCAAACGCCTTCACGATTCAGCCTTAGGACTAGGAACAGCGTTTCTCCGAACAATTTCTATTTATGTCGTAAGAAAGACCCAAGTTGCGATAAACGATTTTGTATTGCCTGACCTTAGACTCATGTTCTATACAGTTATTATATTGAATATTAAATAAGGTACGACTCACTGTATAAGGGTTATAAGGCAAAAAGATAGGCTGACTACTGTGACGTTTTCGTCTGATAATTATAGCTTATTAGGTTTGAATAGCTTTTCGATGATTGCATAACAATTATAGGTACAGATAATTGATTTTGTAATGTACAATATTCGCTTTGTTGATTCGCCTCGCGACGCCTGAATAAGTGTCACCCTATAAAGATTAATTGTAGCGCAAACTTCATCTAAAAAATATAAGTAGGTCGTCGCTTACGGGAACTAGAGTTCATTTAAACTCTCAACCTAAATTCAAATCGAGAACTTCAAACTTGCCAGTAAGATTTTCTAAAAGGAGTGTTCAAATTATTTTTGGTCAAAGGAAATGATCATTGTTTCTAAATTTCTGTGTTTAATAATCTTTCTGTGTTGATTTTCGTATCGTGTAAATCGTTTTCAGATATCAAGCCAGAGGCGATTAATGTTCTATACGATTGCATCGTTACCCTTCTGCCGCCTAAAGTATATGAAAACACAGTAGATGTATATTCGAATTTAATTTCCATTCTTTTATTTACTTTGATTGTTATCGTTTGTTCGGATGATGCCAGCTTATTCCGGGATCCCTAGGCTCAGCTAAACTCTCTCTTAAAAAGAGCCGCAGTAATCTCTAACTTAACGTTCATCTACTAAAGCAATATATATATATGCCTCGAAAGCTCGATTTATGACTGGCCCTCTAAGCTTCTATCACAACCATTTGTCAAGTATGGTTAAGGAAACTTACTGACGTTTTTCGTTGGAGGTCATAGAAACACAGTTACGTCTTTTAATCGTTAGTAACCTCCCAGAAGTATTGACCCTTTGCAAAATGTGTATACATAAATTAAATTGTTAGAGATTAGGTTACAATATTGTCGTTTCAAGTAAGTTGGAACAAGTTATGTAATGTTGTGAATCTTTTTCAGTGCACGGAAGTACTAGATGTCAAGTTGGAAAAGTTCAAGAAAAACCGCCCACTCACCACCTATGTTACCGAGCTTTGCAAAACAGCCCCTAAGCTTCTCAGCAATGCGGTTTGTAGTTAAATCCAAAATAAGCAGATGCTTAGAAATACGGCTAGAAGTTTGCTTTTCCTCAAGCCAGACCTATTTAGTCGCATAAATTACTGTTAAGTTCCTATAATCCTGTCTTAGGTCCAGTAACAGCTCACCTTTTGATGTTTAATTCGGATTAGAGGTGCCCGTTCTATAGTATCACTTTAAACTTCTGTTGCTTTCATCTACTTTCTAATAAGGTATGTATTTATTGATGCGACGGACTCAAGTGTTTAGTTACATTCGCAATAGGCATTTTAAGATTACAAGGTTTTGCATCTGTGCGACAGCTATTCAGTCGGGATTATGTTCCACAAAAATGAAAATACTTAGAATAAACAGAAACATAAGCCTACTGAAGCTGTTTGTTAAGTGTAGGAAGATTCATTGTGACTGTTGGGAGGAAAAGGCTACCTAAAAATTTCACACATTGTTGAGTTTGACCGAAGATGCTTTCGTACGTGAACTAAATATCTGCAAGTGTTTTTATGTGAGAGCTGCCTCTCTCTGCGCCTGTGATGATACTGCCGCTAAAGTAGCATCTTAAATTGCAGGTGTGAAAGGTACGCTTAGTAAAACGTATAGTCCAACGCATGTACGAACCTTTGAGCCACTACGCACGATTCCGTTATCCGATTCTGTCTTCTTCCGCTCATGGGGAGCCATGAGTGATTCGAGATGTATTACAGAAATTGTCGTTACTCTCAATAACAATGATGCTGTTGCGATTACTGATTTTATTGTTTATAAAATTAGTTTCGTGCTTCTCCGATTATATTTGGCTCGATAATGAGATCACAGGAAGGCCTCACGGTAAAGCAAACTCTGATAACGACAATTCATATAACATAGGAGATCTCGAAGAAAAGCTGCTTAGTGAATCGAAATATCAAAGTGTGCGATTCATAATGCAGTCCAGAAGGTGAAGCATAATGTACCCCTGTCATCAATAAAAATAGAAAATTAAAAAAAAAACAGCAAAGAGAAAATATTCTGTTTTCAGATGAATCGCATTTTAATATTTTCAGTAGTAACATGCCCATAGATGTTCCCGCAAAAGATTTAAAAGGTTGTGGTGTGAACCGTAATTTCGAACCACGATGCAGGAGCTCTATATTTGAAGTAAACAGAACTATGGAAAAACGACAATTCTGTTAAGTAATTCAAACGAAAATGCTGTCGCGGGTATGAAAACCGTTCTTGGACAAGAACTTGGACAAGTTACCATGCCATATGGCGAAATATGTCTCTGAAGTGTTTATAACTAATGGCAGCAAGGTTCTACGACCTGAAAACTAACCTGATCTATAATCAATCAAAGACGTGTGGCATTATGCCAAAGGGCGAATCAACACCGAACACGAGCATTACTCTATTCGAGGATACAGTGCTCCAATTAGAGGCTTACGGCCCGGGTGCGACAAGAGTAATGTGAAAGTGCATTCTGAACAAATCAAAGCAGCAGTTGCTGAAATCAGGTTGCAGTCAAGGGTAGGGGAATCCAATACTAGCGCTCACGACATTTACGTGGCAGTTTAAAACGCTTTTCTAGCGAGAGTGTCTCATATGTGTTACCATTAGGAAAAAGAACGACGCACTTCACATAAAAACACTGCACGCAGATATTTAGTTCGGATGCAGAGGTATCTTCGATCGAACTCGATAACTTGTGAAACTTTTACTTGGTCTTATTCAATTTCCCATTTATATATATATATTGGCTGCCTGCAGAGAATATATTTAGTCTTCGACCAACGGGGCGCCGTCCCGACTAAGCCTATGCAAGCAACCGAGGCCACAATCCTGATAATTGCTCAACTAACCAAGGATCAAAAGGTAGCCGTTAGATCGACGAGCCCATGATCATAGTTGGAGGCGGACCTCCGGAACAGTCTTTAGTGCCGGCAGAGGCGCCAGGTCGTGGTTAAAGTGGTCGCCGGCGCTAAAAGTCATAGACGGTAAAATGGGCTCGGTCGCAAAGCACTAGTGTCAATGGAAAGAAGCTTGGCAAGAGAGGCCAAAAATGTACCGTAAAGAGAATAGAAGTGTGCCGTGCGGGAGCAAGCGGCCACATATTATACGAAACCATTAAATACCGATCCTTACGAAAACAAGGGCAAAAGGGTCGTTGTAGAACTGGGGACAGCTTTCTAGAAAAGACGCTGTGTAGCGCATATACGCAACCGAGATACATGAACGCTACTTGGACGCAGTAGGGCTAGTAGCAATAATTGAATGTTACGATTAGAATGTAAGCAAAAAATAGTTGCAGTGTGGATGCACTTAGGGTGCAAAAAACATTGCTGCTAGCTGAAGTCTGTCTCCGACCAGAGGCCTAGAGTTATGCCGGAAGTAAATAATATGGACTAACGCTTAACGTCGGACCTATAATAATGTATGTAGATTTTACGCTAGCCGTGCCTGAACTAGAAGTTATACATACTGACTATAAAATTAGAGCATTAAGGGCGGTAAGAAGAGCACCTTATATGTGTTAAAAAAGTGTATTTTATTGCCTTTAGTAGTCTTGGTCTATAGTGGCATTTGTTATGTCTAGAGCATTTTACGCTTGTTATTTGCGTGGCGTATACGAAAAATCTATAACTTACTCAACAGGTTAATACTTTTACAGTATCTGTAAAATCTACATTGGGTTGCAGTCTTGGCATTTCCGCAGGGGACTTCCTGGTGGTCCAAATTGCCAAACGCATTTAATTGACCCTAAACATGAATTACTACTGAACATATTTGTTGTCGATAATCACTTTTAACACATCTCAACATTATATGCGCTTTTCAGTTCCTATTGATTACGAATTTAGTGCAGGTAAGTTAAAAAATCACGACCAGCAATTATGAAAAAAGTCAAAACTGTGTTATCTTTGCTCTTCAAAGAGAGTAGTAGGTACTTCAAATTTGGTATTTACCCTCACTTCTATTTTTTATTCAGAACTAAACACAAAATGGGCATTTTTTTTACATTCTCGACGTGAAAACCTATATGTGTTACTGGCTGGCTAAAAATTTGTAACCTGTTTTACATTTCCTACTACCTATTTGAATTTTTCTAAGATCTTTGATTTTTCAACACTTTAAGGGTAAGCAATAGTTTTTTATTCGCCTATTATTATTATTAATTCTTTTTCGTTTACTTAAAGAAAAATGCAATGTGAAAAAAAAGTATTGCACTTTCTATATTGCAACCCAATCATTCATAGAAAAATTGGATTAAACGAGAGATAGGAGATAATATCTAATTTAAGACGCGTTTCTTTGTCTGGACGTCCATATTCTTACAGAAGGAGTTTCAAGCACAAACAATGGTTGTGCTGGAAGTATGCTGGAATGCTACAGCATATTGGATACCATATGAGCCTAAAACGGTACCGTGTTTAAAATGTAACTTGTTTTTGGGAAACTATAAATGCAGGCTTGATATGCGGCAGACTCATCACTTCATCTTATTTTTCCGCCTTTTTCTAGCTGTCACGCACTCGTTTATACTTTTGTTTTTGCAAAAGTTAGCACCAAAACAGCGACCAGAAGCCTAATGAACTTCTGTAAAAATGATAAATATGATTGAATCATTTGAGCAGGAAACCCATTTATAGTAAAAAGCATCCCTGATATGCCACTCACTTTTCAGAAATGACTTTTTACCATGTTTTTTTAAGTACCTTCTCGATGATGATAGTATTTGATAAATAAGAGATAATAGAACTGCTATACCAGAATTAATTATAGTTAATATAATAGTACTACCGTATCAGTAACCTATGTCGATGTATGTATTACCTTTCTTCCAGAGGTATCAAGATATCCAGTTGTTCCACTGACGGAACCGAAACAGACAGTACCTTACCTTGCTTGATGTCTTATAATTTCGTATGATAACGATGCCTCTTAGATCAAGTAATATAGAACTGCGCAGAATTGTGAAAGTAACCATCAGTCTACCAATTTTCCAAAACGAGAAACCACGGGTTTATTCAGAGAGACTGAGATGAAGGTCGCACCTCACTACTATTAAGAAATTGTAAGCGTGAAAAATGGAACATTTCATCACGGTTTCTCTGAACAAGCGGCGTACTATTATTATACCAGTAAATGGCTAAATCAGATATACCAAAACCGTAAAAACGTGAAATAATTTCCCATTTTTAAAATCTAATCTCTAAAGAGAAAGGTCACTGTTACAACTCTGCTTTGACGCAAATGAAGTCAATTGAGCCTTTGTCTGGGCTCCAGTATACAAGATGAATCGTAAGACGAAAATAAATTCATATAGTGCTGCTTTTGAGCTTTCTCTGGAGTTGTTCTTATTCTAGAAGGGATGCGTTTACTCTGTTGAACTGCTTTACCATAACTTAGGGATTCGAAAAAAATAGTGCTCCCTTTTATTTTAATGTATTCGAAAATTCCGATATGTGTATTTTACCTACTGTGTTTTGTCTTTTCCTCTAAAAACAATCCTGTTTGTATTTCAACAAAACGTCTGCTATGAGTCGAGTGAAAAAACCATGTTTCGAGCATAGCCCAATCTGGGCTAATCCAACAATTCAGATGTTGAACTGAAATAGTATAGCAGGTCTGTCACTTTCATATCGGTTCCTCATAGAAATTAAATCTCTATTTTTTTATAGCAACTAAAGCGTATACAAGTAAACCTTATCTATTCATTCAGCACCGCGCTGGGTATGATTTTGTACGTACCTGTGCGCCTACATGCTTACGCGTATTTGTGTACGCGAATCTCCATGCACGTGTTAAGTGAACTGCCAGCCATGTATTTTCTTAAGTCAACTTATTCGGCACCAACAGTCTCGACCAAAGCGTTAGTTCACTATAAGTAGGTTTCGAATTAGCAAAAACGATGCAACTTAAGTATGCCTAATCGGTTTTATATGGTACACCCTGAACCTTTTCATAAGAGTAAAATGAAACATTCTGGTACGCTTCTGCGCATGTGTTTCGATCAAATCACTGAAGGGTTCTTTGAAGAAAAAAGGCTTACACGAGTAAGAATGGGTAATTTGGTCAAGATAAAACATTTGAAAGTAATGGTAAATAGTTACCACAACTATTTAAAATATTGTTCGTAACGCTTTGGTTATTTAGAAATTAAAAATTCAGACACTAAGCATCTATTGAAAAGCGCTATGGCCAACGATAGTTATAATACAGTAATTTGCTGATGCATTAGTTGCTGTTCAAAAACATACAACAGTTCTCGTCTTCGTGACTGGTACTATTATACGTTTCATTTACGTGAATATATAATTTGTTTTGAAATAATTGAAACTGTCTGGAAAAAAATCGTTCATCCACTAAGAAAAGCAAGAGTGTATCTGAAGAAATAAATGCAGAGTTTGAAACCCGTCGGTGCTATCTGAATTCTGTGAATCTTTTATGTTTGTACCACCAAACATTTAGGCAATGATCCGTATTACGTTTATTGAATAGTTTTGAGTAAATTTATTTTTTCCGGTATATATTCGTCAACGAAGCCCTACATTAGTACGTCGCTCGTAATTCGACAGTTATTGCAACGATGTGTTGTAAATTTGAGATTCGAAAGCCTACGAACAGGAAGATTGTACCTCATGAAAATGGCTAGCAGAAGGAGACATCAACCATGATCACCCATTCCATAGTAACCCTAGATGAAATTTCAGGTCAACATTTTTTTACTAGGGTCATTATAAGTGCAAATTTAGATTAGCTACCCAATTACTAGAGCTTTGTATGTAAGCACATTATGTATCCTTTTTGTTTTAGCTATTTAAAGTCCGGTTAAAGTTCTTAAAGACATGATTATCAATCGTGAAGTTCTGAGAAAAATATTACCACACTTTTATCCTACATTATTATTATACTACATTTTCGTCCTACGCGCCGAATGAATTTTAAGTTTTACATATCCACGGCCTCTGATAAGCCGTTTTTGATGAGACCAAACTTCACGACATTCGAAAAAGCAACGTTTAGTATAAACATCGTTATATCTAGGGCTACTAGCCAGACTTATCGATTCTATTGTGCAATTTGGATGTTAAAAAACAGAGAAATGATTGCAAATATATAACGGCTCTTGGTATAAAAATCTGCCATAAATTTGACAGATCGAGTATATACATCTTCAGAATACAGTACATGATCATACCGCTTTAACTATTAAATTAGAATGATGCATATAATGACGCAACTTATTCTTACATCTTATTTCGAGATTACTTACGCAGCGCGCGATGCACTCTTCATGAAAACAGGTCATTTACACGTCCTCCTGTTGTGGTACACGGAATACGGATTAGCATGCCCCAAGTATAGCCCGGCGGTACACTTTTCAGTTGTCTGTTTTAGTGTCGTGCTTGTAGAAGTTGTCCAGGAAATCTTCCAGCATCAGTAACCTTTACAGTGTTATTCAGATCCTGTCTTGCGTATACTGCCACGTCATCCGCATGTGTTTTTACCTACACAGATGAGACTGATGAAAGGCACGGTTAGTGAGAAGATTTCAAGTCCATTTGGTTTGATCATCGGCAAGTGGGGAGGGATTTTAAAAAGCTAGTAATAGGTGACTCATTTGAACATTGAAGACAAAGTCAAAGCATAACTACGTTGTAATGCTGACATATGTGCATAAATTTTGCCTACTTGGATTGTTCTGAACAGCCGTAGAGCAGTGCTCCGTCCCGATCTGTAGGAGAACTGAGTATCTCTGCTCGCTGGCGTACTGCACAGATCATGTTTTCCAGCACTTCGCAGCATATAGCAAGAGTCACTAATACCTATTTGTTGTCGGAAAGCTCATTCTTTGATCTCTTCGTGTATAATCAAGCATACTATAACTGTTTGAAACATTACTTAAATAAAAACCCGTCAAATGGGTATACAGACTGAGACTCCGAGTCTTTCCGGTAGGTATGACTGAATTCCGTTATGCATCTTATTAGATTCGGACAAATATAAAAGAATATTATACAATATAGCATACTAACATCTGTAACATGGACAGTAAACCGAACGAGATTTTCAGAGAGCACTAGGATATTTATTTGATTGGGTCACAGCAGTTCGCCGTTCGACGGATTTGTAGATTTGAGAAAACCGTTACGTGTTCGTGCATTTTGGCAATCACTCGTCGTTAACATTCCATCTTGAATGCTAAGATAGCTCGGGGCCCACTAAGCTTTGTGACTCCTGAGCAAACTCAGCAATTCACACCAAGTTATTTATTTGCAAACAAACTGAAAGTAATTATAAAAGAAGAATTGTACGATATTTATTTATAAAAATGCAATAGTGAATTGCCTTTGGTTCATGGCTTTGCAGACAGTTCATTGTTCTCTGATTACTGGTTATCTCCTAATCGCTTTATTAATCCTTTTTTTTAGCCCTTGGCTAATCACATTTTATTTGTTATCAATATACATATATCTATAGATGTATATAAGCGTGTTTGTCAATTAGCTGGTAAATTAATAGGCGTAAGTTTCGTGCATGCTGTCTGCATCTTTTCGGTCGTTACAACAACAATGTCAGGAATGAATATCGTGTTCATAGATTGTTGGCTGGGATCCGCTGTAAACAGTTATCACGAACGTTCAAGAATATTGTTTCATTGAATTTTTCTGCATTTACTTCTGGTTTCCTAGCGTCTCCCAGTTGGTATGCGGCAGTTTTAAATCACCGGAAATATTTATGGTATTATCATATTTAATATGGACCCTAGTTCTTTGGTCAGTATGGTACGAGAGGTTATCAGCTTTCGCTATTTTGAGCTGCATGACACTGTACGGTGTGATGCTACGAGCAAGAAGTTCACCGAAATATTCGTTTCAGCACGACAATTTTTCCACTACACAATATTGTAGCTTTAGGGAATATTTCGAATAAGCCAGTGCAACTTAACTCCACCGATTTTTCGAAGAGCCATGTTTTTATTATTAGAGCGGTGACGACCTTGTTTTTTTTTAAGTAATGTGCAGAGTACAGAGAGGCCCATCCTTGCAGATGAGGTTCTGATATATATAAGTTGACATTGCGCAGTAGTTTAAAAAAAAAAAAGAAATCAACTGAACAAACTAGATCGTCATCCTTGCTATCGCGCATTTTAGTCGATCCGCTCAGCGATAAGCCAAACTGTACAACACTTACAATGCAAAATATAATTATTGGTAATCACATAATATAAAAATGGAGTCATGCAATTTGACCGTTTATTTATATAACCAGCTAGATTTAGACAGTGCGTATCATAACTCGTTATCTCAGTATATGTATGCTGAAGTACAAATCAGCAAAAAAGTAGTAATCAAAATATCACAAAATATTTAAAAATTGTTTTTTTTGCAATGAGTTGTAAATAATGCTCGGTGCCAGCACCGGACGTAGGAGTTGAAATATATTAGCTCTTTACATCTAGCATTATCATTAAACCAATGGTCAGCAATATATAAAACATAAAGGACGAGATTCAGATGTTGTTCATGTCGGATTTTTGCGGAACGTAGCTGATTAGTACAGCTTCAGAAAACGGCAACTAGATTTATTTAGTTAATACATTTTTTCCTTTAAATCTATATTATATCTAAATTAAATTGAAAAGCAGATGTTTGGCATTCCATATCTTCTCCATTTTTCGTCATACACTTTCATTATTCTATATATAGGTAGACTACGTTTGCACGACTCAAGTAGGTTTTTTAACAAAACCGACTACATCATTTATTGAGAGCAGAGTCTATGACACAGGCTGTTATCTCTCTGATATGATCCCGCATGTTACAAGTCGAGCAACACTTTGGAACTTTGATGATAAATTCAATTCTAAATATTAAAATGTATTCAAGTTAAATACTTTCTTATTTATCTATAATTACATTATTTCACTTACATTATTTATCTATAATTAGTATGATTATGAATCACAATCGAACAACTTTATTGCCGTGAAGCATCGTACGTAACGTTTCAAAGTACACCAATTGTGGCAGCAGATATTATCAGAAGTTTTCATGATAAGCGAAGATATAAAATTTTATTGTAATATTGTCTGATACAGACGTTTCACTTTTCTAATATAGTGTTTACATATATACAGGTAGACACTTGCGATAGTGAAAAGTAACAATAAATGATACAACTATACCAAACGAGTACAAGCAGCGTTGCAGATTTTATAAAAACTTTCCATTCACATTCACGTTACGTATGACTGCATATTAGGATTTAATGTAGGGCGTCGAGGTACTAAAATAAATAATACACAAGAGTTAATCGTCATTTCGTAGAGTGAAATAAATACCTTTTGCGTTATTTCTAGAGAATCAGCTATCCTTCTATGTAAAGAAATCTTTGAAATTACTTTTAGATACTGCTACAATGACTGCCAGGAGAAGTCTTGCTGCTGGACTTATCCATGAAACAGCAGGATAACGGTGTCAATAGGTGTAGCTGTTGAATGAACGTTTTTCCTGAATCCTTCGCCACTGTCTACCCACAGAGAAAAGTGAACCAACCAAACAAATACTCCACTGATATCAACAGGAATACGCGGGCTTATTCAAAGCACAGCTGCTTATTTTCTCGCAAACTTTGCTCGATTTAACCATCAGCAATGGTTATTATGCCGCCCTTTGATACAAACAGTGATTGGCGCTGCTGCTCGCCATTCGGTCCCCTCTTTCGATTGTTGATCGGGCTCTGCATCTAGCCAAGGCTTACAGTTGTCTGGCCTTTAGCCTGTGTCTGTGTACGAGCTTCTTTCTCCATGGATAGCGACGGCTTAGCAGGCTGGTCAGTTTGGAATATAATATAGCTTATTGCTTACTGACTAAATTGCTACCGCCGTCTATCTACCTATA